TGCAGCTTGATGAATTTTTACACGTGCACGTCCCCATGTAACACCAGCCCAGACCCAGACGGAGAACATTGCAAGCAGCCCAGAGGCTCCCTTTGCCCCTCCCAGTCCATTCTCATCTAACTTTCAGCTCCCCAGGAACCACTACAGCAACTTGTGAATAACAGACACACACCACGTATTTGTGGGAGGACTCCCTCAGTTCATTGGAGGAAGAAATGGGCTGGTCGCTGCTGACATTCTTGGTCATCCCTGCCCTTTGCAGTTCTGGGACCAGAGGTGTGATAGTGCCTGGTTTCAATGTAATCTAAACACTTGATAGCCAGAGTGAGGCTTTGTTGAGTAACATATATTAGTATATATTTGTGTTTCTGTAGGTCCGGGTGCAGACAGCAATGGCGCCATGCAGCGTTTTCTGTGTAGCCCTGATCAGAGCCATCTCCCATGTCTCACTGAATCATCTCAACAATCTTCCAAGGTGAGAAGAGCATGATTCCATCTTCCAGGAGAAGAAACCGAGACTCCAGGATAAAGTCTGAATTCCTTCTCTGGGCCTGTGGGGGCAGCGTGATGGCCCCAAATGTGCCCTGAAGAAAGGCTCCCGTGTCCTCGTCCGAGTCTGCCTTCCTCCCTCTCAGGAAGCCTTTCTGTGCCTCTTGCCTTTTGATTTTGGGCATCTTGGGTTCCGCTGGGGTTTAATTATGTTCCCCTTTCCCCAGGAGCGATGTTGAAATCCTAAACCACAGTACTTCAGAACATGGCCCTATTTGGAAGTAGGGTCATTGCAGGTATAATCATTTAGACTAGGTCACAGTGGATAAGGATGAGTCACTAATCCAATGTGGCTGCCGTCCTTATGAGAAGAGGAGACGAGACACAGAGACACACATACAGGGAGAGGCCATGTGAGGACATGGCGGAGATTGGGGTGGTGCATCCACAAGCCATGGAGTGCCCAAGATCGCCAGCACCCACCACAGTACAGTCTAGGAAGAGACAAGAAAGAATTGTCCCCTAGAAGTTCAGAAGGAATAGAGCCCAACCAGCACCTTGAGTTTGGACTTTCAGCCTTCAGAATCGTCAGACAATAGATTTCTGTTTTAAGTCACTCCATTTGTGGACCTTTGCCTCAGCAGCTCTAGGAAATTAATACGGGTCCCGTGTGGGCAGCTACATATTGTCTTGACTGGAATTAACGACCCAGGTCAGCAGGGTCTGAGCCTTCCCACTGCGGCCACCCTCCTGCCTGACCTCCTCACTCATCCCTACCGACGGTCAACCACAACCCTTCCTTTAGCGCATGGCTCAAATGCCATTGCTTCCAGAGGCTCTTCTCAGTCGTCCCACAGAAAGCGTAGGACTAACAGACCCGTGACTGGGATGTAGCTCCCCCAGTGCGCATTGTCTCTTACTTAGCAACAGTTCAGTGGGCACAAAGGTGGCTTCTTTGACTCCGTCTCTCTTCAGCTAGGAAAGGTGGCCCAGGGCTGTAGGAAGGCAGAGCGGGGAAAGACGATGCCACGTGGAATTGATCCAGGTCAAAGGGTGCTCTTCCAGAGGCGAGGTATCACACCAATCAGGAATACCAAAGGAGGAATCATGTTAAACCTAACCTCTTATGTGCAGTTGGCTTTTCCGGATGTTTACACTCCCAGGGCTAGAATGCCTCCCTTCCCTGATGCAGGTTTGCATGTTGACATCACAACTGAACTCGAAGGCTCAATGAACTTGCCATTTCCCCCAAAAGGCTGCTCTGAGAGGGAGTACGAAATACAGTTCTCTATTTCTCTTCTAAGTTTCACAGCACTTTACGTGTACTCGTGTGTGTGCATCTTAGGGCAGCCTCCCTTTCTACCTGCATTGGCGATCTCCATTCCAGTGCACAGATATGTACCAAGTGCACACATGCGCCAGGCCTTGGAGATACCTTGAGGAACAGGAGACAGTCTGGTCTCATGGACCTCACAGTTTAATGGGATATAAGTGGGTTTTTTACCAAAGTGTGTTAAATAAATACATATGAATAGAAAGTTTGGTGCGCGTGTTAGGCCCATTCAAGATCCTTAACCCAGTCAGCCTGTGGCGGATGCGTGAGATAGACAACCACAAAGGGTGGGCCTCGTGGGGTGGCACCGATGCAGTGGCACGGGGTCCCTCCCTGTCCCACACTCTGAAGGGCCTGCACTTGGGGTTCAACGCTCTGCCATCGTCATCTTGAAATTGTTAATAATATTGCTCCTGAAATCATGTTTTCTGAGTCTGATGGGAGAATGGAACATGCAGGGGGGACTGGAGCTGGGGCTGTGCACCTTCCTGCCACCTGCCACCCCCGGGAGGGATTCTCGGCTACCCAACCCCGCACCGCGTGTTCCCTAGGTCTTGACCAGCCTCTGCCCCTGCAATTGTTGCTGCTGTCCAGTAGGTGGCAACAGGCGGTCTGTGTTCCGCGCCCTGGCGGAGCCGTTGCCCGCAGGGTCTGGGCATGCGCGCAGGACACACTGAGTGGGATCTCGGGGTAAGGCCAGAGGGCGACTGTTTCCGCGTCGAGCAGGCAGTGCCAGGGCCCGTTCCACATGGGACTGGAGCCTCTCGCCCACCTCCCATCCAGGTACGGAGAGCTTCTCAGCCTGGAGGCCGCAATCCTGCGAGGTCTCGGCTCCACCGCACACTGGGCCGTGGTCTGTGGAAGAGGGAGACAGTGGCGTGGCTCCCCCATCCCCCAACCTCGGCTGGGCCCAGCAGAGGGCGGGAAGCCTGCAGGTGTAGGTGGCTGGTGCTGCCCTGAGTCACCTGGCAGGGCCCTGGCACCTGTGAGGGGCTGCTCTCACATTCCCATGCCCAAGGGAGCTCAGCGTTAGGTAGCAAAGAAAAGACACCACGCCAGGTTGAGAGAGGCTGCGAAAGAAAGGAGGAGGCCCTCTATTTTAGTACTTTTAATGGTGATTTTTTTTTTTTTTCATTTTGCAGTGGATCCTGCAAATCATGTAGCCGGCCCTGCCCCCAAACTCAGTAATAACTACAGTGACCATGTGCCGGCACCAGGCCGTCAGATCTTCCCAACCGTGCGTGTCGGAACTCTGATAATTTCTATTCTGCAGAGGAGGAAAACGAGGCTCAAGTCACACGCACGAGCCCCACATCTGGTAAGTGGAACGCTGGGATGGGACCCAGGCTGTGTCTGCCCCCGCGCTTGAGCGCAGAAGGGTCAAGGCTGGCCGGAGCCCGCAGGCGGCTGGTGTGCAGTTAGGGAGTTGCCAGCTGACTGGTGTGCAGCTAGGAATCTGTGGGCTGAATGAGTGGGCCAGCCGGCTAGACGCAGGGTGGAACCGGGCCCCGCCTGCCTTCCTGGATGCACGCAGGCAGGCCGGGGAGCCAGCACCCGGTGCCTGCGAAGCGGGAGGACGCTCTGGTTCCGGAGCGTGGTACAGGGCTGGGCCGGCCAGCCTGAGTGGGCGGCAGCACGTGATCACCTGCAGATGCAGAGCGACGGCGAGGACAGCATCACCGGCTCAGCTGACCCTGCCCAGTACACAGGGCCTGGCCATCTTGTGCCCAAGCCTGGTAAAGCACCATTTTGTCCCTGCCTCGCCATTGCTTTGCCTGTGCTGTTTTGTAAGCTGCCCGAGGTGTGCCTGGCTCCCCTTCTGTGTTCGCAGGGGCACTGGAGGCTGGGCAGGAGAGACGCGGTGCCCAGGAAGCCCACCCAATTTTCCAAGAAACCTCTGCCCCCACCCCCAGCCCCCCACCAGAGAAAGCTTTTCCTCAGTCCTTATTGCCCTGCCTCTGATATTCTATCTTGCATCCTAAACTGGGTGCATTCTAACCCTGGTGGTCATGATTTTGCAAAGTGATGGATGGAACATGGATGTATGCTTTCGTTTGAATATTATGGTGACTTCAAGAACCACACAGAACATTCAGGAAACGTTATCGTGCCGGCTTTGGACAGCAATGTGAAAGGGGTTATATGTCTGGGAGTACTCAAATTATCAACAATTTTAATCAGCTTTTTTATGCACCATTCAGAGAGCAAAATTAGAACTGCTTGTGTTTGTATTCCACAATGTATTCGAGATAATTAAAAATTAGCCCGTGAAATGATAGAGATCTGTACAGCAGCAGCCAGGATTTGGAGGCAGTGTTTCCCTCTAGGCAAATGAACTGGACTTTTCTGAGAGTAAATACGGAATCCGAATCCAGCTGCACATTTTATTAAAACTACGAACATTTCACGGTCACCCCTGTGTAGCAGGCAACCTTCTGCAACAGCCGCCCTGGCCGTATCTTACTAGCAACCGGCAAGGAAATACCGGAAAATAATCGGCTGTTGAAATGATTATTTAAGCTTCTAAGAAATTCATCCTGATGACTGTGCGTGACTGTGCGGTGGCTGCGCGCTGCCCGGTCCTGCCTCAGTTCGCCCGCACTTCCCTGCTGCTGCTTTAAGACTGCAGAGCGCCCCAGCGGCCAGAGGCAGGGGAGGGGTCCCCGCTCGCCTCCGCGCCGCTCGCTGGCTCGCCGGGCTCACAGGCAGGGAAGGGCAGCCCAGGCATCCATGTGATCGAGGCCCGAGCCCAGGAAAGATGCGCCTGCCCGCCCGCCTGCTGCCTGGATGCGGAGGGTGAGGCTGGCGCACGGGAGGCCGCCGGCTGCGCGTTCTGGGCGCCGGGCGCCCGGGATGAGCTCACGCCCGCGTCCGCGGCTGTCTGCACCCGCCGACCTGCCGGGGGCCCCCTGAGCTGACGGCGCACCTGGGCTGCGGCCGCGGCGGTGGGCGCGGCGCCCGGGAGCAGGTGTGCGGGAGCGCAGCGCGCGGCGAGCGCAGC